TATATCAGGTGCTATCAACAGAGAAAACCAGCTTCAAATAAAAGCCGGCATGTTCGGCCATTCAGCCACTTTTAATTGGGCTTCAGGTGCTTCTCACATGGGCAGCTCTGTATATCCTATTCCTGAGAGAAGAACACCAAAGACTCGCTTTTTTTTTTTTTTTTTGCAGTTTTTGGCCAGGGCTGGGCTTAAACCCGCCACCCCTGGTATATGGGGCTGGCGCCCTACTCCTTGAGCCACAGGCGCCACCCTGGAGAAACATCCTTAAACTTTGCTATGTGCTTATTTTAATGGACCCATAATTTGCCCATTAGACCCATGTCATAGATGAAAATGCCTTTCTTTTAAAATAAAGTAGAAAAGTGAGTCAAATTAAAGAAAACTAATAAGCAGTGGAGTTCACGTCAAAGTTGGGGTTGGGAGTCTGAAGGGAGGGTGTGGGAAGAAAGTGTCTCCTGGAGCCTGCGATGCCATGCTCCTGAGATGCCATGCTCCTGAGATGCCATGGTGAAGAGTGGCCAGGGGTCCTGAAAGGTGTCCTGGAAGCCCGTCCTTCCACCTCTGGGGCAGATGGTGCTGTCCTCACTGAGCCCTGGATGAAGTGCTTGAGTGGGTTTGGGGATGGCAGTTGGACCAAGTATCACCCACTGAAAATCTTAGAAACTGCTCAGAAGCCAGGTATTCCCACAATGAGAGGAGTGGAGGACAAATTCCTTTAGGGAACAACAGGCACTCATGACACCGCTCCCCCCCCATTGTCTTTTGTTTCTTCTTTGTGAGCAGGTAGAGCAAAAAGTATCTGTGAAGTGGCCATAATGCAAGTATGTCAAAAATCTAAAGTAGTTATCAAGTAACCAGGGGGAGGCTGGGCACCACTTTCCCACTTGCTTTCCCGCTCTCCAGGGATCAAATACAGGAGCTTAAGGGGATGTCTTCTAGGCCTGGACTCTGTCCTGAGCTTGTCAGTCACCTGCACCCTCCCGCCCAAGCCCCTTTCTGAAGCCAATATCCAGTCCACTGCCGGCAGAACCCTTCCCCAGGAACATTCCCAAACACCGGTTTTGTTTTCCCAAACAAATCTAAAAATTGGGTAATAAATGCTTTCGCAAGTCAGTGGTTTATACTTTGCTGCTTTCTACAAATTTGAACAAAGGTCAAATGAACTTGTCAGCTGATAGATGAGTAACAATAATTTCTGATGACAGATAACTGTCCGACTTTAGCCCATTACCCAGGAGCATAAGAATTCTACTCCCAGCCACTTACGAAGGAAAGCAAGGCTTCCTGGCACTGACATCTGCAAAGAACTGTTGACAAAAGTTGGTCTCGTTCTAGTCTGAATAAACTGGGGGCAGAGAAGAAGCCCCCCCCATGTCATTACAAGGCGTATTTCTAAGCAAAGAAAGTCACAGTGAGAAACCACTAGGAACAGCTGAAGTTTGTGACTCACAGTCCCACTCTGTGTGTAAGCCCAAGAGAAACAGAAATAATATGTTCACGTGAGAATCTGTACCTGAATATTCCCGGCACCTTGACTGATAATTTGTCCGAAACTGGAAACACTCGGAATGTCCTTCAACTAAGTGGCTAAAAAACTGTGGTATATGCGCACACTGGAATTCTACTCAGTAGTAAAAAGAAACCAACTATTGCTACATGCAACAACATGCGTAGATCTCAAAACAATGCCGAGTGAAAAAAGCTAGTCTCAGAAGCACAGACTGTGTGATTCCATTTATGACGTTCTGGAAAAGGCTGGTTGCCGGACGGTGGGCATGGGGGAGGGCTTCACTACAAAAGGGGAGCATGAGGAAATCTGAGGAAACCATAAATTGTTCTTTATCTGGATGTAGTGGTAGTTCCTTAAATCCATAAATGTGTTAAAATTCATGGAACTGTAAACACCAATACACACACATCACTTATACTCTGCAAATTTAAAAATAGAGTAGAACCTCTATAAGTTGACCACCCGAGGGACTGTAACACACTGGTCAACATATGGAACTAGCCCTGCTGTACTGATATGTGCATGTGGTGCATGTCTGGCCTATGCAAATTAGATCAACTTAAGGAGGTGGTCCACTATGGAGGTTCTACTGTATATAAAATTCATATAAAAAACACATGCAAGCCAACAAAATTTTACTTAATATATAACATGAAACATAATGAGACTATCCTGATCAACTGTATAATTATAGTTAAATGGCAACCCAGGTATTTTAGGCTAGGTGTTTGTAATGACAAAATTTATGTTGATGCCCTAACACCCAGTGTACTTGAATTTGGAGATGGGACCTCTAAGGAAGTAACTAAGGTTAAATAATGTCACATGGGTGGGACCCTGATCCAATAGAATTAGTGTCCTTATAAGAAGAGACACCACAGAGTCATGCATGCACTCTTCTCCCTACCCCCTTTTCCAACACCAAAGAAAGGCCAAGTGAGGACATGAGAAGGTGGCCAACTGCAAGCCAGGAAGAGAGCCCTCACCAGACCCTGACCATGCTGGCGCCCTGATCTAAGACTTCCAACCTCTCAAACTGTGAGAAATAAATACCTGTTATTTAAACTTTGCATTGAGGGTATTTTATTTCACCAGCTCAAGCAGACGAATATCCCAGGTCAAAAAAAAAAAATTGAGACAAGTACAACAGACTGAATAATAAAAGGCTTAAAAGCATCAAAAATACGTAACACTTAGATAAAATTCTGGAGGGAAGAAAGGAAATACAAGTTCAAAGGGGAAAAGGGCATAACACTTCTGACCATAAAAGAGCTTGTCTGTGTATTCTTAAAAATGTTTGGTGGTGAATATAATTTTGCTGTCATATGTGGGCCCCAGAGATCACCTTTTTTTTTTTTTAGAGAGTCTCACTTTGTCATCCTCGGTAGAGTGCCGTGGCATCATAGCTCACAGAAACCGCCAGCTCTTGGGCTTAGGCAATTCTCTTGCCTCAGCCTCTTCAGCAGCTGGGACTATAGGTGTCCACCACAACACCCAGCTATATTTTTGTTGCAGTTTGGCCGGGGCCAGGTTGGAACCCTCTACCCTTGGTATATGGGTCCGGCGCCCTACTCACTGAGCCACAGGCATTGCTCCAGAGGTCATGTTTAAACGTGATGAAATGTCTCATAACGTCAATGATGATGATAATTAGTGGGAAATTTCACCTTTTACAACTAATTAAACTTAAAATGAAAACTTTTAGATGGCTCCAATCCAGTAAGAGTAACTACTTCTCTTTTCTGCCAGGCCCAGAACACTATGCCTGTCCTACACACAGGATTTGTATACAAATGCACAGAAAAAGGTCCCCATGCAATAGCAGCACAGGTACCATGGGGCTAGGGAGTGGTCCAAAGGGACTTGGATCCTCCTCCTTCCAAAAAGGGGCTGTATTCACACAATACTTATATAAAATTTTAAACTGCACAAGGTTGAAATTTAAAAACAGGAAGGCAAGTCAGCAGCTCAGCCTTGTGAGACGCTCTTGGCAGCACCAGAAAGGAGCTGTTGACCAAGAGCAGAAGGGCCCAGAACTCCCCAGCAAGCCCCTCACCCCCACCCCAGCAAACAGGCTGCCAGACTCCAACCTTCAATTTTTTTTAAAGGTTTATTACTTCAATAGTGAATTATTTTTTTAAAAGATGATAAAATTCATTTATCTTCCAGTAGAAAAGGGACAACAGAGGCTTGTCCCAAGATCCAGGAGCACTGGAGAGCAGGGTCACGCCCTATCCCAGGGGAGGTATCCAGGCGGTGAGCCTCCAAGGCCTCCCCACCTCCCTCCATGCTGGCACCTAAAATCTGAGGGACCCTGAAGGGAGGCAGCTCAGGGCACAGGCTGCTACCATCGCAGCCAGGGAGTGGCCAGCTCAGTGTACAGGACGATGCCAGTTTAGGCTGGAGGAAAAGGGCCTCCAACATCCAGCGTCCTGCCAGAGAGTGAGCAGAGACCACTGGAGAAGCTGCCCCAGGCATCCTGTGCTCACACCATTTTCTGAGGCGGGATCTAGGCAGGCAGACCTTGGAGGAAGCTCATGGTCACAGCCTGAGCCGTGAGTCCCTGGCCCCTGCCCACCTGGCTTTGGCACAGGAAGCCTGCACATCCAGCCAGGACCTCCAGGACAGCGCCCTGGCCTGGGAATAAGAGGCCTGAGCTACCAGGCTGGGGCTGCAAGGTTTGTCCTGATGGGGAGGGAGACCCCCAGAGATGGTGGGTGTCTTCAAGAGCCAGGACCCAGTGGCTGAAGGGGCCAGGCTCACCCAAGGGAGAGGACACAACACCTATAGCACCCACGGTCAGGCCTGGGGGTCACTTGGAGAAAAGGTTCCAGAACAGTGCTTGTTCCCTGAGTCCCTTCGGCAGCAGCTCCATCCCTGAGTGTGTCTGTGCACGCCTGTGCATGTGTGTGCACATGTGCCGGGGCGTGTATGCGATGTGCAGACAGGTGTGGCAGCTGGGGGCTCAGGCTTTGGGACTGGCAGGCTGCATAGACTCCTGCAGGAGTGGGGTGTAGGGGCCAGGGGGCTGCTCCGGCCCGGTGGCCAGGCTTGGCCTGCTCCCGCCATCCTCGGGACCCTGTGGAGGAAGGCGAAGCTGGATTACCAAGCCCCATCCCCAAGCCCTCACCCTCAGCACCAACCCCAACCCCTACACCCACAGCCCCCCAGGCATGAAAACCTCCCTTTTCCCCCTTGATAGCACCATTTACCAAGTCACGGAGAGGTGAGAGGAAGCTGGAGTGACTACAGACTTCTGCAATATTGGTACAAAGGGCCTTCTCATCTCACTAAATACCACCTGGCCCTGCCTCCACCTACTTTAGAGATGGGAAAAGTGAGGCCCAAAGACACAGAGGCCAGGGCAAGGGCAGGGGCTTGTGTGCAATAATACTACTAGCACAAAGTGAAAAGGCCAGCACGGCTACAGACAGGACAGTGCACTTTTAAACCACAGTCACAGCGGGTATTCAGCCTGGACAGTACCACAAACAGGAAGACGAGGGAAGGCAGCCATAGTGCGCCACACACAGTGACAACAGGACACCAGCTAGTAACATTCCTAAAAATCATCTGTTGTTCATGGATGTGTATGTACAGATTTGGAGGGAAAAAAAAAACCTACACACCAAATTCCTGGATGGTTGCCTGGTGGTGGGGGAGAGACCTTGGGGAGAGGGACAGGAACACAAAAGAAGAAAGTAGAACAGATAGCACAGACATTAACAATTTACAACAATAACAATTGTTAACAAGGCCAGTGGCAATGGCTCACGCCTGTAATCCTAGCACTCTGGGAGGCCAAGGCAGGTGGATAGCTTGAGCTCACAAGTTCAAGACCAGCCTGAGCAAGAGTGAGACCCCATCTCTACTAAAATAGAAAAACTGAGGCAAGAAGGTCACTTGAGCCCAAGAGTTGGAGGTTGCTATGAACTATGACACCATGGCACTCCTCCCAGGACAACAGCTTGAGACTATCTTAAAAACAAACAAACAAACAAAACAATGTTAACAATTGCTGAGTCTGGGTGATAGGGAACTCAAGACTATGTTGTAATTTATCTAATTTTACTTTTTTTTTTTTTTTTTTTTGAGACAGCCTCAAGCTCTCACCCTGGGTAGAGTGCTATGGCATCACAGTTCACAGCAATCTCCAACTCCTAGACTCAAGAGATTCTCCTGCCTCTGCCTCCCAAGCAGCTGGGACTACAGGTGCCCGCCACAACGCCCAGCTATCTTTTGGTTGCAGCCATCATTGTTGTTTGGCTGGCCCAGGCTAGATTTGAACCCACCAGCTCCAGTGTATGTGGCTGGCGCCTTAGCTGCTTGAGCCACAGGCACCAAGCCTAGTTTCACATTTTTAAAACTTTCTCAACTCAAAATAATTAAAAATAAAGATAATAATGATAGTCAGAGTGTGGGATATCTCTGTTCCCCTAGCCCCCTGCCTCACTCTACTTAACAGGCATCCTCAAACTATGGCCCGCCGAGGACATTTATCCGTCCCGCCAGGTGTTTTTGCCGCTGCTGCCTGTTCTGCTTAACAGCCAACTCGTCCCAGGGCCTGCAGTCTGGCCCTCCAACGGTCTGAGGGACAGTGAACCAGCCCCCTGTTTAAAAAGTTTTGAGGACACTTGCTCCTGAAGAACCAAGAGGCCTCCTTGCCCAGCCACTGTAGCTGGACACCCAAAGCCCCAGGGCTGACTTCACCACAGGGGAGAGGGATCAAACCCCCATCTGAACAGAAGGCAAGGGTGGGGGATGCCTGCTTCCTTCCACTCCGGCATTACGCCAGGCCCTAGTGAGATCAGCACCCCCCACTGCCTCAGAGGCAGCATGGGACACCTGGGGCAGTCAGAAACTCAACAAGGTGGGCTTGAGAGTCATGACTTGAGACAGTCTCACTCAAAAGTAAAAAAGGGAAAATGACCCCCAGGCTATTAAAGAACCCTTGGTCTTTCCTAACAAACACCAAAGGAGCCAGAAGGTGGAGCACATACTTCCTCCTCCTCCCTTCCATTCTTGTTTGATTAAGGAGAAAGTACTTGGAGTAGGGAAAAGATCAATGAGAAGCTAAAAAATGTCCAAGAATATTTTCCTGAAGGGCTAACATATATAGTTGCCCAGGCTGTTCACTGCACAAGGGCATCTAGCCTACGGGCTCCAAACCAGTCAACACAATGTTTGCCAGGTCCTCTAACCTGGGTAGGCCTCATCTGCCCCAGAAGCTCTTTTTCTTACTCATGTAAGATAGCCAGTCCCAAACCTGGGTGCAGGGCAAGTGTGGGGCCTCCTGCAGGGACCTAGGCCTAAGACTCAGGACAGGACTTGGCAGGGGGACGCCCACTCCCCAAGCTGAAGCCAGACAGCTAGAGGATACTGCACTTCCCAAGTACACATGACTACAGGTTTGGGGGTATCATCTAGGGTGAGGGTTGAGCTGCCTTCCAGAAAGCAGAGCAGTAGCATCTCTTTAAATCAAACACTTGTCTATTATAATAACTTGAAAATTGGACTTCATTGTCAAAATAAAGAACAGACCCCAGTTTGGGTGGGGGTAGAGGGGATGGCAGGACATCCTGATTATACCCAGAGAGGTGCAGCCATGGGGCTCTGACTGCTCTGTCTGTGCCAAAGTGAATAACTCCTTCCTCCTCACCCCCTCCCTGAAAATATCAAGCAAGTTTCTGCAGGGGGGAGTCATGGATGGGAAGAGGCAGGGACATAGATGGGGCCAAATTGTACACAACAGAAAGGTGACCTGGAGGAATCCCTGGCAGAGAGGAAAGGAAGTGGGAGCCAGCTAGAATACCCTGCCCCCAGCCTAGGGACCTGATGTGCTCAGACTCTGCCCCTGACACCCCTAGAGCCTGGCTGGAACATGGCTGTCCCTCCCCACCCCTGCAGGGCTTGCAGCCAGCACGCCCCTGCCCACCACTTCACATTTTCTGTCTTATTTCCTCTTCCAGCCCTGGCAACTGAGGTGGACTGGAGACAGCCAACTGGTCCCAAAGCATGAGGCTGTTGCCTCATGCCTTACAATGTGGCTCCCAAGAAAGTTATTTAAACCCAAACAGACCCAGCCCCAGAAGCTCTCAAGGGCAGCACATTTTCCAGAAACTAAAATAACAGCTATTATCAGAGGCACAACCATAGAATGACCTACCCCTGTCCAATCCCAAACTGTACAGCCTATGGCCCTGCCTGTCACACCAGCCCTGGACCTTAGCCTTCCAGAACCTCATCAAGGAATCTGAGAACCCCCAAAGGCACTGGCCTACTTTTCTCGCAGGTAGAGCTGCCCGATAAAATCGGGTTAAATCTGAATTTCAGGTAAACAACGCATAGGTTTTCAGTCCAAGTATGTCCCATAGTTGTATGGGAAACACTTAAACTGAACATTATTCATTGTTTTCCTGAAATTCATCATTAACTGGGCATCTTTCTGTGATTGTTCCTTGTTTTTGTGTTCAATCGAACAACCCTACCTTCTGGTCCAGTCCTATATATACAGTCGGTGTGCAACTGATGCCTAATTTTTTGTTCTTGGGCAGTCACCTAAGGTTTAGACCAATGTTTCTCAAACATGTTTCTATACCAGAATCCTCTTGGTTCATTCAAACACAGATTTCTGGAGTCCTCCCCTTTCTATTCCAGGAGGCCAGAGGCTGTCCAGGGACTGGCATTCCTAGTAAACTTCCCCAGGGGCATCTATTGCACAAGAGGTTTGAGAAGCAGTGGGCCTAAACCTCAATCTTGCCTTTCTAATGTGACCTTGCAAATAGGACACCAGCCCAAAGAACACAAGTCACTCTCTACGATCAAAGAAAATACTCTTCACCCAGATCATGGGAAGGTAGGTGGTTTCTCCAAAAGCAAAATATACAAATGTGCATCCTTAGTCTGTAGACACTCCAGGTGAAGTTTAGGCTGAAAGAAATGTGTGAGACCCCCCAAGTGTTTGAAGCTGCCAGCATTCTACTCTACAGCGGGCGGGTAGGGAAGAGGGGAGGCATGGCATTACCTGGTACCCACCTACAGCCTTGCTTCCTGCAGCACAGCGCCCTTGGGAGCTGATGTCATCAGGGATTCAGAATAGGCCTGAATGGCCTCCTTATCCTTTGAGCCCTTTTTACTACTACTCCAAAATAAATAGCATTTCTCCTAGAAGATAACCAAGCTAATTTATAGTTGACATTGAAGCCACACAAAAAAAGGTTTTTACACTGATCTTTGATTTTCCAAAAGCAAAAGACAAGGTGCAGAATTTGAGAGTCCAGCAACCCTTAACACGTGGAGTCAGCTAAGATTTGGGGGAGCTGTCACCCTTTGACAGAAAATATGAGCATCTTCAGGAAACACACATGCAAAGACGGGCAAGCCAAGCTTAAAAGGGTTCATCTGCTATGAAAATTTAGGCCACAGAGAAGAAGTGAGCTTGGGAGATGGGCCGTAGTGGCCAAGAGACAGTGTGTCTAACATTTTAAACCAGGGACAAATAGACTGTTCTGTTAAAATATGTGGGATGTTTTTTTCCTTCAAGAATGACTAGAAGGCCAGGTGCAGTGGCTCATGCCTATAATCCTAGCACTGGAGGCCAAGGAGGGAGGATTGCATGAGCTCAGGAATTCAAAACCAGCTACTTAGGAGGGTGAGGCAGGAGGATCATTTGAGCCCAAGAATTTGAGTTTGCTGTGAGCTATGATGAGACACCACAGCACTCTACCTGGGCAACAGAACACAACTTTGTCTCAAAAAATAAAAATAAAAAAGAATGACTTGAGAAGAAAAATTTCTCTCAAGTAAAATTAAAATACATTGAGTTTGGCTGGGCGCCTGTAGCTCAGCGGCTAGGGCGCCAGCCACATACACCAGAGTTGGCGGGTTCAAACCCAGGCCTGCCAAACAACAATGACAACCACAACCAATGAATAGCCAGGTGTTATGGCAGACACCTGTGGTCCCAGCTGCTTGGGAGGCTGAGGCAAGAGAACCGCTTAAATCCAAGAGTTTGAGGTTGCTGTGAGCTGTGACACCACGGCACTCTACCAAGGGTGACACAGTGAGACTCTGTCTCACAATAAATAAATAAATAAAATAAAACACATTGAGTTTGCCAGCACGTGACTTCTTCTTTTTCAAATACATGGCAGGGCATGGCAGCTCACTCCTATAATCCTAGCACTGTGTGAGGCTATGGTGGGTGGATTGTTTGAGCTCACCAGTTCAAGAACAGCCTGAGCAAGAGACCCCATCTCTACTAAAAATAGAAAAAAAAAAAAAAAACAAACAATAATAAAACATCTAACCAGGTGTCACAGCAGGCCCCTATTATCCCAGCTACTTGGGAGGCTGAGGCAAGAGGTTATCTTGAGCCCAAGAGACTGAGGTTGCTGTGAGCTATCATGATGCTACAGCACTCTACCTAGGGTGACAGAGTGAGACTCTGTCTCAAAAAAAAAAAAAAGAGAAAATGGGGACAAAGACATAAAAACAGGTAATGCCTAACTTTAAGTCAAAGAATACATAATGGCATAAATTTCAATCATTTGGCCTCCAGTGAAACCTATAGGGAAGAGCCCCAACCACACCACCCATAGAAATAACAGTGTTTCTACTTGGATTTGGGGGTGGGACATTGGCTTGGGGGCTGAGAAAGGGAAGGGGCCCCTAGCCTGCACCTTCACATTCTGTGCTTCTGGATCCCCTTCCTCACACTTCTCTGATAGACAGTGAAGAGAGAGACAGAAGGGGACAGAGGGCCGAGGCTGTCTTGGCCGAGCCCCTCACAACCAGTCCCCAGAGACTCCTCATGTGGCTGTGTATGGTCTCATCAGCTGACACCCTTGGTGATGCTCTGCCCCAGAAAAATGTTCACAGGCTGAGAGCACAGTTTCAGGATCCTTCCTGCCCCCCACCCCTGCCTCAGAAACTGCAGAAGAAACTGCAGCAAATTTCTTCTTGCCCACTGTAGTCACAGCAACAGGGGTGAGGGGCACCTGAAAGGGCTGGTTAGTACCAATGTTCATCTGGGGCTCAAACACTAACGGCAGTAATGTGATAAGAGCTGGTGGCCCCTGGCCACCTCACACAGCGGAAATGTTTTCCCCCAGAGGATAGGGAATATGGAAGCTGAGTTCTAGGTCCAAAAGTCCAGGTTAAGAGCCTAGACTTACTACTCCCGCAAGCAAGCACACAAGCTTCCTCCAAGAAAGAGAGAAAAGAGAAAGAATTGGTTTGCCAACACCAATGCAGGTCAAAGATGACCCAAAGACCAGCAGGGCAGCAGGGCAGCCCGAAGGTCCCATGGAAGGCCTTGGCCTGGGGCCCTAGGACGACTCAGGTGGGGGCCACCTCCTGAGTGGGTGGCTTTCTGGTTCATGCCTTTCTCCCAGTGGGTGGCATGCCCTCCCCTGCTCCTCGACCTCTGTGATTACAGCTCTCTTGTCACCATGCGACTGCAGTAATTCACTTACAGGTCTGCCTTGCTGTCAGTCTCCAGACTTCATGATCTGGTCATTTCTATACCCCCTGACCTGTGTATAGTACCTCACAAAACATAAGCACTTGGCAAACATATGCTAGTGAATGCCATGAATGAATGAATGACCCCAAACTAAGAAGGGGTATTTGCTGTCAGCCCTCTCCTTCCTGCTCCTGAAGGTTGAAAGCCTACAGATGGGGTTCCCCATGTATGTTCCCTTCCTGATACCAGCTGACCATTTTGGCTGAACTCATCAAGGCCTCCCCACTGGTCACCTGCCTTCCCCCCTCCCAACTAAGCGCCTATTTGCCCCAGTAGTTCCTCTCTTTGAAAACCTCCTACGCCTACCCAGAATCAGTCCCGAGATGCTCACCCTATGTCACAGGGCCTGGCGTGACCTGCCCTGACCCCCTCCAACACCATCCCCTACTTTTCTTCCTCTCCCTTTAATGTATTTGCATTAATGCTTACATTCTTTCCTCACAGTCTAACTATACCTGTGTCTATCCCCTGCCCCGGGACATGCACCAACCAGTCTGGGAACCATATACATGACTGTTGAGCCACTGAAGGAGGGTCAGTCCAGATCAAGACTTGCTGAATGTGTATAAGACACATGGGCTCTCAAAGACTTAATTAAAAAAAAAAAAAGAATGCACAAATATTTACATTGATTACATACTTAAATTATAATATTTTGGATATATTTGGGTCAAAACAAATTTATGATTAAAATGAATTTCACCTGTTTCTTTTGACTGACTGTGGCCATTAGAAAATTTAAACTTGAAATCTCATGTGGCTCACCTTGTCTTTGAGTTGGACACCCGTGGCTCTGGCCCATCACATTTTTTATCATGTTTAGTATCAGAGAAATTATCTTTTCTGTTTGTTTTCATGTCTCCCCTAATAGACCAGACTAGAAAGCCAGCCTCTCTTGTGCCCCCTGAACATGGATCTCACCTGTCTTGTCAGCTATACAACCATCTAACAGCCTGGTACTAGCTTGATAAACAAATGATCCAAATATCAGGTTTCATGACTCAAAACCCACCTGCAGCTCCTCCAAGGGAGGGCCCCAGGCCTTCTGGAACAGGCAGAGTAGGGACAATGCAGGAAGCGAGAGATGCAAGGATGCAGGGTGGGCCACCACAGCCGTGGCCGACCCCCACCCTTGGCAAAGAGGTAAGCTGCCGGCGCCTGGAGGATCCGACCCAAAGCCCCCTCCCCCCAGCAGGCAAGCAAATGGCTGTCAGCCCAGGCCGCGCTCTGGCCACCACCTACTTGGCTCCGGATCTGGTGGACGACGGGAACGAGCAGCAGCATGCAGCCCAGGGCTAGGAGCACGTACTGCGCGTAGTGCAGCACCTTGGGCATCAACACCAGCTGGGTGTAGAAGGTACGGAGCGGCTCGCCCTCCATGGCCCCTCTCTGGGGAGACAGAATGACACGCACTTAAGCGGAGGCCGCAGGTTGCGAGCCCAGGGTGCAGAGGCCACCCACGACACCGTCCTCCGGACCCCCTTGCCCCTTCCGCACCTCCAACAACCGGGACAGACAATGCTTCGGAGGCCCTGGGCGAGACTACATTTCCCAGACCCCCTTGCAGGTGAACAGGCCCCCGCGACCGCGTTCTGGCCAATGGAAGGTGGGCCTGGGATCATATGGGCCCTCCCATATGATTCTCCATCATTTTCCCCACCAATGAATAGAGCCGGAGCCGGAGCATCTGTGGGGCAGGCAGGCCATCAGACGCTAAGGGCCCTGGCGCCCTGAAAGACCTCGTGTAGCCGACTTCCGTCTCCCTCCAACCCACTGCGACTGGGCTGTGCGCCCACCTGCTGTTTGGAGGCTGCCCTGGCCATTAGCGCACTCTGATTTAAAATGAGGTAAGCCAGAAAAAAAATACAGTAAATAAAATAAAATGAACTATGCCAGAAGAAATTCTGGAAAGCTGGGAAAGAAGAAAAGTCAGGCGAAAGCTGACCCCTTGAAATCAAATTCCCTCTCTCAATAGGGCCAGAGACTTTACCGTTTTATATAGCTCTGTCTTCCCCATCTCAAGGGATCTTTCAGTTCACTGGGATAACTGACATATGGTACTCAAAGAGTGTGAACTTTGTAACACATTGTTCACTATCACGCAGTCCAGTTACCTTGGCCCAGATCTTTTCCTCTCTACTAAAGGCTCCACCCCCGCCTCAAATACCCACATTTGCATCTCACTATGAGACCTGACACCCCCCACCCCCACCACATGCAGTCCTACCTCTTCAAACCACAGCAGCGGCAGAACCACTGGCTCGATATTCCCCGTTTGTCTGGAATTAAGCAAGATATAGCAGGTGAGAAGTTTTGCCAGTGTTTTGCAACACGCAGCTGGGGACAAGTAATCAAGCTCCTGGGGTCTGGAGGGATTTGCTTTTGCAAGGATGGCCAGGACAGGCTCCTCCATTTCGATTTCCATGGCTTCAGTCTCCCCCTCCACACACACACAATATAAGATACCGTGAGAGACACCACATAACTTTTATTGCAGTATATTATTATTATCTTTGAGACAGAGTCTCACCTTGTTGCCGTTGGTAGAATGCCATGGCATCATAGCTCACAGCACCCTCAAACTCCTGGGCTTAAGCGACACTCTTGCCTTAGCCTCCTGAGTACCTGGGACTACAGGCACCCACCACAATGCCCAGCTATTTTTAGAGATGTCTCTGTCTGGCTCAGGCTGGTCTTGAACCCATGAGCTCAGGCAATCCAACTGCCTCTGCCTCCCAGAGTGCTAGGGTTACAGGCGTGAGCCACCACACCTGGCAAATACAGTGTCCCTGGGTGGGCTTAAACCACCAACCTTTTGGTTAACAACCAAATGCATTAACCAATTGCACCAGGGACTGTGGTGACTTTATTATAATTGTTCTGTTATTTGTTATTAATTGCTTACTGTGCCAATTTATAAATTAAACTATCATAGATATAGATGTATAGGATAAAACAATATATACTGTAGAGGGTTCAATACTAACCCCAGTTTCAGGTGTGTACTGGGGGTCTTGGAATAAAGATAAAGGGGGCCACTGTACTTGATTGGTGTTGGCTTAGTGTTTGGATGTACTTCTGTAAGGAATCTCCCCTCACAAGGAGCAACTTGACAATTATCTTTTTTTTTTTTTTTTTGAGACAGAGTCTTGCTCTGTCATCCTGGGTAGAATGCTGTGGAATCATCATAGCTCACAACAGTCTCAAACTCTTGGTCTCAAGCAATCCACTTGCCTCAGCCTCTCAAATAGCTGGGACTACAGATGCCCACCATGATGCCTGGTTAGTTTTTTTTTCTAGTAGAGACAGGGTCTCACTCTTGCTCAGGTTGGTCTCGAACTCCTGAGCTCAAGCAATCCACCCACCTCGGCCTCCCAGAGTGCTAGGATTACAGGCATGAGCCACTGTGCCCAGCCACAATAATCTTTTTAAATTAAAAACTCACATCCCCTATATGGCAGGGATTGACCTAGCTAACATATATTCGTTCATTTTAGAAACAGAATCCCAATTTTATTTGGGATGGCAGGCATCCAGCTAAGAGACTATGTCTCAGCCTCTCTTGCAATGAGAGTGGACTGTATGACCAAGTTCTGGTTAAAGTAATGTTAGCAGAAGCATTATGTGTGATAACTGGGAAGGCTGCTTTATAAGAAGCTTTCACAGCTGGGAGGTGAATTCTTTTTCCCTTCTCCCTGTCAGATGCCTGGAATGCAGAAGCAATGGCTGGAGCTTCAGCAACTATTTGGATCAGAGGCAACCTTGAGGATAGAAAAAATATGCTAGGAAAACAGAACAGAAAGGTGGTTGGAACTTGAACCATGAATGTCTTTGGAGAGCTGCCACACTGGGACTGTCTGCTCAGACATCTTCTAAAAGAAGATTTAAATGTGTTTACATATATCACCTACACGTGAAAACAGTGGAAAACACCACAGAGATACAATGAGAGGTGCCATTCGCTTTGGCTGCTTTTCTCTGAAAAACTTTGTATGAACTGAGGTAAATTACAGGCAGGTTTTGTGAGACTCCACTGACGTTATCTAGTGAGCAAAGAGCACAAAGTTCCTCCAACACGTCACAGTGAAACGGCTCTGCTTCCTGGCAGCTGCATCTCTAGGCCTTTCCCGCAGCCATACCTCAGCGCTGAGAGGGGTGGGGAATAAACTTCTGCTGTTGAGACCACTTCCCTCATGTCCTCTGCTTCTAGTCTCCTAGGGAGTTTGGCAGCTGTGAGGCCCTGAGAAGTTGAGTTAGTGGCCCACAGGTCACTGCCAGGCAGAATGCAGCTGTCCCTATAGACTGTCAAGAATATAAACTACAGCTCAGTGCCCATAGCTCAGTGGTTAGGGCACCAGCCACATACACCAGGGCTGGCAGGTTCGAACCCAGCCCAGGCCTGCTAAATAACAATAACAACTACAACAACAACAACAACAAAAATAGCTGGGTGTGGTGGGGCACCTGTAGTCCCAGCTACTTGAGAGGTTGAGGCAAGAGAATCTCTTAAGCTTAAGAGTTTGAGGTTGCTGTGAGCTGTGATGCCACAGCACTCTACCAAGGGCAACATAGTAAGATCCTCTCTCAAAAAAAAAAAGAATGTAAACTACTTCCTAACAGGGGAAAATTAAGAGGCCTTTGGTTACAATCCAGATTTTGGGATCCTTTTAGAAAATGAAGAGGATGTGGCCAGACTGGGCCCACACTCCCAGGAGGGAGTGGGGCTGGGGGCTGGGCAGGGGCTGCTCCCTTGGTCCCAGCCCTACCCTGGCTTCTGGGCTCCTCCGTCTGCATCACCTGCCCGGCCTGGTAGCATCTGAATTAGGAACCCAGAACCACGTGGTAAAACCAGAGTGAGAGCTTGAGCTGCAGACACCTTGCCCAGGCCTGCTACTGTCACCCTACCACCCTCAAATCTACTAACAACAAATCCCCTGAGCAGCTTCAAAATATACAAATAAAATAATACAGGAATGAGACTGGAGACAGTGAGCTGACAGCAGTTATTCCCTGCCATTCTCTGACAAAGTGTTATTCTTTCTAGCTGAGAAGCATCTTACAAATGCTGAATAGATGCTCACATTCCTGCAACTCAGGAATCTAAGATTTTTTTTTAAAAGACAGGGTCTCATTTAGTTGTCCCGGCTAGAATCAGAGGTGGCATCATAGCTCACTGCAACCTCAAACTCCTGGGCTCAACCAATTCACCTACCTCAGCCTCCCCTGTAGCTGGAACTACAGGCACTAAGAGAAAAAAAAATTTTTTAAATTGAAATTAGGTCTGGGTATGGTAGCTTACACCTGTAATCCTAGTACTCTAGGAGGCTGCAGCAGGAGTTTAAGTTCAGGAGTTCAAGACCAGTCTGAGCCAGAAGCAAGACTCTGTGTCTACCAAAAGTAGAAAAATTGGCTGGGTGTTGTGGTGGGGACCTGTAGTCCCAGTTACTTGGGAGGCTGAGGCAAGAGGATCGCTTGAGACAAGGAGTTTGAGGCTGCAGTGAGCTGTGATGCCACTGCACTCTAGCCTGAGCAACAGTGTGAGACTCTGTCTCAAAAACATGAAAAACAATTTTCAAATGCTAAGAAGTACAGACACTGACACAGAGACAAATCAGTACCCGCTTCAGTTCTGTCAACATGTAAGCTCGCTGGTGAGGACGTGAGAAACTGGAACCCTCCTGCACAACTGGTGAGAATGGAACAGGGTATAGTAGCCGTGGAAAAGGCTCCTCAAAGGTTAAACACAGAGTCACCATGGGTCCCAGCAATTCCACCCCTAGGTATATTGAAAATGAGAACATATGTGCCTCCCCACCCCCAAACTTACATATGAATGTTTGTTCATAACAAAACTTGATGTCATCATGAACCTTGATGACATTTATCATAAGTGAAAGGAGCCAGTCACAATAGGCCACGTGGTGGCTGATGCTATTTATATGAAGTCTCTAGAACCATTGCTGTTCCCCATGCCCTGTGCACCACCAGAGTCTGAGACCCTTGGAGTCCTGAGTCCCTGACCTCTCCCTGAGCAGTGCAGCCCCACTTCCCAGATCCCACTCACCCAATGCCTTTCACGGCTTTGATGTAGAGGTTCAGCTCCAGCTTCACGGAGCAATTCATGGGGATCCCAGTGACCTGCAGCAATGCACATATGAAGGACAGTGACTACCCTCAATCTTCCTGGACACCTTCAAACCCTTTTTTCCCTGGTCCCACTCAAGAGGAGGGCATGCCAGCTTAACTGCCCAGTGGAGTTTGCTTTTATCTGACCACATACAAGCAACAGGTTGGGGGAGTCCACTCTTCTAGAAATTTTGTGTGCGTGGACTAGGATGGCCCCTAGTGGTTCTCAGTCCTTTCAGATAAGCACATGCTTCCCAGGCAGTTCTGTCCGCAAGCTCATGGGGCCTTTCGAAAGGAAGCCCCTCTCAGGATGGAAAAATCCTAATCCCTTTCATCTGTCTTTTTCAACAAGTAGTACAGAATAACATCCTTTTAGATGCTTCTTTCCAACCTCTGCGTTAAATGATATGGGTGAGAATCTCTCTTTTTTTTTCTTTTTTGAGATAGAGCCTCACTATGTCGCCCTTGGCAGCGTGCTGTGGCATCACAGCTCACACCAACCTCAAACTCTTGGGCTTTAGCAATTCTCTTGCCTCCGCCGCCCAAGTAGCTGGGACTACAGGCACCCGCCACAATGCCCCGCTATTTTTTATTGTTACCATTGTCATTTGGCAGACCCTGGCTGGGTTCGAACCTGCCTGCCCCGGGTATATGTGCCTGGTACCCCAGCCGCTGAACTACAGGCGCTGAGCTGAGAATCTCTTCTTCATTCGCTCCCAACTTTTCCTGATCATTTCAAAGAGAAAGTCTCAGCCAGGAGTTTGCACGGTCCTGCCTCACTACTAGACCTCCATTCTTATTAAATGGTCCTGAGAGCTGACCTCAGGCCCTGCACCATTTCCCAGCAACAGTCTTTTACCTGCAGCCTAATAACATTTTTTTTCCTTGTTCATTTTTATGGTTGTCTCTTTTTGGAGAATTTTTACAGTTTCCTATTTGAGATATAATAGAAAGATTCCTTTGTGCAGAATTTTTTTTTTTTTTAATGAGATGATTTTGTAAAAGTAAATAACAGAAGTGACGCAAATGTGTCACCAAAAACAGGAAAGTGGTTCTGGAATGAAGTCCAGAAATTATAGTGGAAAGAAACCTAGGTCTGAGGTCAGAGGAACACAAGTGGTTCTTCTGAGCCAACACTCACTTCCTTGTCTGTAAAATAGATAACTCTACCCACCTCAGAGAATTTTTGCAAGGATAAAATAAAGTATGCAAGATGGCCACACTCAGAGCCAGTGTTAATATCGGGAAAGGGCATTATCTTCAGTCATAGCCCAGCACTCTGAGGCCCTTCCCGGGCCCTGTGGCAAAGAGGAGCCAAAGACCTTACTCTTAAAACTGTGGAGAGGCCCGGCGCCTATGGCTCAACCAGCTAAGGCGCCAGCCACGTACACCTAAGGTGGCGGGTTCAAATCCCCAGCCCGGACCTGCCAAACAACAATGACGGCTGCAACCAAAAACTAGCCGGGCGTTGTGGCGGGCGCCTGTGGTCCCAGCTACTTGGGAGGCGGAGGCAGGAGACTCGCTTGAGCCCAGGAGTTGGAGGTTGCTGTGAGCTATAATGCCACGGCACTCTATCCAGGGGGACAGCTTGAGGCTCTGTCTCAAAAAAAAAAACTGTGGAGAGTTTGAACTCGAAAACCTGATGGAATAGGAGTGAGATCACCCATGTATAGAAAGGAGTTCACGCGACAGGTCTGAGGCTTACCTGCTTAGGCTACTGGCAAAGCTGGGGTCTAGGAACTCCAATTTCAGGAGGGTCCCCTGCCACTCTCTAGCTTATAGGAGTGGCTTGCCTTGCCTAGACTATTAGTACAAGCAATGACTTATGCTGAACACCTGCTTTACTTCTGAGAGTCCAGAATTTTGGTACATGCCAGAATTTAGGTGCCCACATGATCAGCCCCTAATGAAAACCCTGGCAATCAAATTCTAATGGGCTTTCCTGATAGACAGCACTTCATACATGTTGTCACACCTCATTGCTAGAGGAATTAAGGGTGTCTTGCGTGACCCCACCAGGAGGGGACTCTGGAAGCTCCAGCCTGGTCTGCCCTGGACTTCTCCCCTCTGCTGGTTTTGCTCTGTGCCCTCTCACTGTGATCACCACCACAGGCTGAGTTCTGAGTCTTCCTCTGGACTCCTTAAGCCGGGGGATGATCCTGGGGGTTCCAGTGTAACCTGCCATCCTCTTCCCCTCTCTGGAACACACTCTACATCTTGGGATCTCTGTGTGGGTCTCTTCTTTCCCCAATAAATTTATCCCATGCCCTCCCTGGCTCACTCCTCCAGCTACTGTCAGGCCTCCTCTTAGAGACCAAAGTCCCCCTATTCCGTGTACCACCAAGAATAGAAACTTGGACCCACCCCGTCACCACCTCTCTTCCAGTTTCAGGACCTAAAAAGGGGCCACACAGAAGCAGCTTCTGATAGGGAACAAACTGATTCCATGTCCTCCTCCCAATGTGCCCAGATTAAAACCAAAAATTCAGAACCCACTTCCTCTCCTGTCTGCCCCAAGTCAAGCTCATCTGAAAGCAGAGGGTAGGGGGCACCAGCTGAAGTGGCTGCTGCACAACCGCTCGCTGCCTCTCTTGGGCTTCCTGGACTTAACTCCCTTTTTCTTGATGTGGAAGAAAAGAGAAAAGCCATGCACAAAAATGAAAGCTACCAGCGAGACTGTGTTCATGGTGGATTTCTCTAAAAGCCAGCAGAGCAAAAGAAACAAAATGAATTAAAGAGAGAAGATACAAAGCTGGGGCCAGGGTAGGGGCCAGGGTGGGGGCCAGGGTGGGGACCCAGGTGTCTTTTTTTTTTTTTTTTTT